ACTCCCTCCCACCGGGGTGCCGGGGGGGGACGGGGGGCAAGGGGATGGCAGCAGGACCCCACCACTCACACCCCATGTCCCTCTGTCTGTCCCCAGGGCTGCATGACCTGCTCTTCCACATGTGAGTGCCCGAAGCCCCTCCCCCCAGCGCTGCCGCATCCCCAGGTGAGACCCCCACGTATCCCCCCCCGCCAGGGCCAGCCCCAGCGCCCAGGAGCCCATTGGCAGCCCGGAGGACCCCCAAGCAGCTGCAAGCAGTGAGGATGGAGCAGCACCAGGAGCTGCGGCTGCCCCCAGCGTAGCAGCAGGTAAGGGCACTGGGGGGTGAACCCGGGGCTGAGCCAGCCACTCGCCCTGGTGGCCCCGCACCCCCACTCTGTCACCTCCACCCTGCAGAGTCGCTCTCGGCACCACCAGAAGCCACCAAGGACCTCCAAGGTTAACGTCACCACCACCATGAATGTGATTCCGTGACCCCTCTGGCTTTTCCTCCTTGTTCCCCTCCCCTCACACCCACCTGCACCACATCCTGCTCATCGCTTCAGACTAATAAAACCAGGAAGAGTGGACACATCTCCCAGGCCTCAGCTCCAGTGATGCTGCCCAAGTCAACACTCAGAAGCCAGAAAAACATCTGGGATCCAGCCCTGCACAAAAAATCTGGCAAAGGGGTTTTTGCTTCGATATTTAAAAAGCAGTCTGGGGAGATGGGTGATTTTTCTGAGGGTTTGGGCAAGGGAAAACCTTTCTAATCACAAAAAGTGGGCAGAAACAGTGAAACTGGGTTATAGTCCAGGCAGGAACAAAGGTGGGATTCGCCAGGAAACTCATGCTGGGTTTTATCCATTTTTAGGCAGCAGAGGGGATGAGCCCGCCCAGCACCCAGCAAAAGCTTCTTCCCAGCTCAGCATTGAACCTTGAGCTACTCCTGGAGCTAAAATAAATATTTAAGCTCAAATGAATTATTTTCTCACCAGTGGGAGAGGAAAAAAAAACCCAAGTGGTGAAGCTCTGCACTCAGGGCTCACATTGCACTGGATGCTGTTTTGGGGCAAAGCTGAATTTTGTGTGGTACAAAAACAGCTGGGAAGCCCTAGTGAAGTGGGGAAGGGTCCTCCTCTTCACCCTGAATTCCCCATTTTCAGGCCAAACTGCAGGATCTTAAAAATAACCATTGGTGATGGTTGTTCCCCACAGTGGTGTGAGCACAGAGGGAGGGGGGGGCTGTGGAAAGTGGGGAGCAGGCCCTGGCTCTGGCCTTTTTCTCCATTATCTGGAGAAGAACCTGTTGGGAAGTATCAAGCAAGAAGACCTGGCCTCATTTCAGTGTCCATGGAGGATCAGTCCCCTCTGCTGCCACAAAGCATCACTCTCCTCATCAAACCACTCCAAAAAATAAAAACCCCACCCCAAACCCCCACAAATCTGATGTAGTTTCAAAATACATACAATTTCCAGGGAAATATTGCAGCTTCTTAGGAAAACACAGTCTTTACATGATTCAGCCACAGCCCGAGTTAAGCAAGGTTGTTTAAAAACAAGTGGTTAAATCTCAGCGTTTTGGGAAAAACAAAGGAGCCAGGGTAAAACCCAACCAACTTGCCTGCCAAGCTCTGATGGAAAACAGGGAGAGCCTTGCAGCACGATGGGCGACAGAAAACCAAGGAGCAGGCAGAGAAGGCTGGGATTTGGGAAGGCAGAGATAAAGGAGGAGGGAGGAGTAGGGCCTTGCTGTGACTCTGGGGTAGGTGGCAGTCAAAGCTGGCGGGTTTCATAGCGTGAGGCCCAGGGTTTGCAGGGAGCTTTGGAATCAGACTGGGAAGACACACAACCCTAAAAACAAAGGCAACAAAATGAAATAAATTTAGAAATAATACAATAAAAGGGGAAAAAAAAAACCAACCACTCAAACACTTATCACAGCCCAGAGAGATGGTGCTTCCAAAGCAGACTGCAAGAGTTTCCTCCTTGAGGAGAAAATAGCTCCCCAAAAATCACAGAATCACTTAGGTTGGAAAAACTTTCAAGATCATCAAGTCCAATCATTAACCTATCGAGTGCAACCACTAACTCTCCCAAGCCCAGCACTAAACCATGTTCCCAAGTACCACATCTAGAGGACTTTTAAACACATCCAGGGATGGTGACTCAACCACCTCCCCAGGCAGCACGTTCCAATGTCTGACAGCCCTTTCAGTGAAAAAGGTCTCCCTAATGTCCAGTCTAAACCTCCCCTGGTGCAACTTGAGGCCATTTCCTCTTGTTCTATCACCAGTTACTTGTGAGAAGAGACCAGTGCCTGCCTCTTTACAACATCCTTTCAGGCAGTTGTAGAGGGTGATGAGGTCTCCCTTCAGCCTCCTTTTCTTCAGACTAAACAGCCCCAATGAACCACCCCCCCAGAGATTCTCCTCAGCTGCACCTGCAGCACCTTCATTCCCACAGGGATTGGCAGCAGCTCCAGCTGGGCCAGCACTGCTCCCGCCCTTGGCTGGGAAAATCCTCCCCCCACGTGTCGCCTCAGGGCAGCCATAACTCTGATTCATGCCCCTCATTCCTGGGATTAGGTGCTCTTGCTATATTTTTTTTTAATTGGGGGGGGGGG